TTCCCCAGTGACTCACATGAACCTATTTTAGGTTAAGGACTTAAGGTTAGGAAAATGTCATTTGTATGAGAGGCATGAGTGGCTCCTGGGCCTCATTAATTTCCCACTCAGTGAACACATACTTTTATTTCCTATGCCTTATGTTAGGCATGCCTCATGCCCACTACCCCTCACTTCATCCCAGCCTCGTAGAGCACACAGTATGCCTGCCTACTGGGAAAACTGTGGCATAGTGGGAGATTGTCCCCTAAAGAGTAATACAGACTCTTGCAGGGAATGAATCAAGAAGGGTTAGTGTCTTCTAAGAAAGGATACCAGCTTCTAGTTGGGAGAACTGGGCTTGCTGCTTTCCTGAATTTCACCTTCTTGACAGGCTCTCACTTCTGTATTTAACCCCCAGAACGGTGCTCGATCAGTGCTGGGTGATTTAAGGCTTCGTGTGGCAAAAGTCTATGCCATACCCTTCACTATCTCAGAGTCCCTCTCTCAGCTAGCTGTTGGACAGGCCGCTTTCCCATTCTCATCTCTGCTCCTTTATTTTAATAAAAAAATGTATGATGCATTTTTCAAAGGCCTTTATAGTTCTTTCATTTGGTTTTTGCCAAGCGTTTGTCATATAGGTACAGGTTATGTATTTAAAGGCAAGAAAAAGGGGCGCCTGGGTGGCTCAGTCGTTAAGCGTCTGCCTTCGGCTCAGATCATGATCCCAGGGTCCTCGGATCGAGCCCCACATCAGGCTCCCTGCTCCTCAGGAAGCCTGCTTCTCCCTCCCACTCCCCCTGCTTGTGTTCCCTCTCTCTCTGTGTCTCTCTCTGTCAAATAAATAAAATCTTAAAAAAAATAAAGGCAAGAAAAAGTTTAGAAAGACTAAGTGATTTAACCAAGGATACAGAGCTGAGTAGTGCCATAGCCATGGTGTCTTGATACCAAGCCATGTGCTTTATCCATTGGGCCAAGCTGTCTCTTTTAGCTGTGCCCATAGACTAGGTGGGTAATCATGGGCAGGCCACATATATGTGTTTGTGCTAGGGTAAACAGTGGAATCCTGACTCTTGGCTTGACACTGACTCAGGGACAGACCTTGGTGTGAAAAACCTCCTCCATGCTGCACTTGGCCTTTTGGGGGTGGGGTGATGTTATTTGTCCATTCTGATGGGGGTAGCCTGGCCTCTTCTGGGAGTGTAGGTCTCAGGAAAACAACGTTGTTCTTGAAGAACCCCTGATGGGGGGAAAACTACCCAGTCCTGCAGGAAGATCTGTCTCAAGTAGGGTTGGGGGAAAGATGACACACAGGAATCAAACTCAGGGTTCATTTTGAAGCTAGCTTTCCTTTGAGATAGTTTGATCTTTGGCAAATATTTTGTCTTTCTAGCCCTTTAATATTTAGCCTGTGTTTTAAGGAGGAAGGGTTGTGTCGAGGAGTTGGGAGGTCATAGGGTAGAATCCCACAGCTTCTGTCTCATGCTTTTGGGAACTGGGGACACTTGGGCAACCTAGGGTTGAGAAGAGTATTGTGAAAAGGGCCTGCCCTAGGGTGGGGCAGGCGGGCAGGAGGAAGTGGCCCTCTGTAAGGAGCGTTGTGGAGTTGTGGCCAGGGGAGCTGGGAGTCCGCAGTGGGAAGGTCTGTGGTAGGAACTGAAAGTGGGCTGGAGTGGAGCACTGGTGGTCTGGCACTGAGGGTTTGTGAGTCAGCATTAGGCAGGATGGGCCCCTTGTCCTTGGCTTTGTCCTGGGCACCCTCGCTCTTTACGGCTTGGATAGATACCCAGCAGGTCAGCTTATCCAATTTGTAGCTGACACAAAGCCAGCAGGGATTTGCAGCGGATGGGCTCAAGGCAGGGTCGTATCCAGAGATTGCAGTAGATTAGAACGAGGAGAAAACCACACAGAAATGTGAGGAACCAGGGAGACTTGGTCTGGCCCCAGGTTAGTTCTGGGAGTTGTAATTGTCAGTGTTGGCTAGCAGTAACAGGACTACTGAAAATTAGCAAAACCACACTACTAGAGGTGTGGTGGCATGGCAAGGGAGGGAGCAGCTCCATGTCAGGTCAGGTTTCACCAGGTGCATCAGGTTTGGTTCTGGGAGTTGTATACAAAGAGAGCATCAGAGGAGAGTGAACACTTGAGAGTAGAAGGGACCTGCCCTCAAGAAGGGGGCACACCGGGACTGTGTGACCCAGAGGCTGGGACTCCTGCCCTGACATTATACAAGGAATAGAATTGTTTGGGGGATCAGGAGTGCCATTCTTAGGCTCCTGACCTGCATCAGGTGCTAGACTGTTTTCTGAAGCTCTAGAGCTGTACTGAATACATGCTTTGTGCTTCTGTCCATCCTTTCAGGGCCTCTAGGACTGCTTGGTTCCACTTTGATTCATCCCAGACCACCAACTCAGCTGAGCTCCCAAGGGCAGGCAGGACTGAGCCTTAGCTGACATTCCACACACTTAGGCACTTAGGGTATTTTTTGGTGCTTAAAGGTCAGAGCTGGGCTGAGAGAAGAGCCCAGGAAAGGCAGCTAAAGGCTCCAGGGCTGACTTCTCCCCTATGGCCTCTCCTAGGACCGAGAGGAACGGAAGCTGCTGCTGGACCCTAGCAGCCCCCCTACCAAAGCCCTCAATGGAGCTGAGCCCAACTACCACAGCCTGCCTCCCACTCGCACAGATGAGCAGGCCCTGCTCTCCTCCATCCTTGCTAAGACAGCCAGGTGAGCACCAAAGGACCAAGCCTGGGCAGAGCTTCTCCATCGATGTTAAAGGATGGGATAGAGGGGCTGGGCCCAGGACATGGGGGATGGGACAAGGTCAGTGGCTAGAGGTGCCTCTGGGCCCAGCCCTGCTCCAGTGGGCAGGCAGGGACACTGGGGTCAGATAGCCCCGGAGTTGGCACTTGGCAGTGAATCCTGCGTGTCCCTCTTGAAGCACCTGTCATGTTCTCTCTGCCTCTTCTCCCCAAAGCAACATCATTGATGTGTCTGCCGCGGACTCCCAGGGCATGGAGCAGCATGAGTACATGGACCGGGCAAGGCAGTACAGGTGAGACCTGGCCAGCTTCGGACACACATGCACGCACACGCGCGCGCACACACACACACACACACACACACATGCACCCCACCCCGGTCGGGCTCCTTGGGCTCCTCCCTGCCCCTCCATCCCTTATCCAGCTTTGGAGCCTGAGCCCCAGTCCACGCTTCTTGTTTGGGTGCAGCCCAGGAGACTGATAACAAATCTCTCTGGTACCGCAGCAGATGTTCACGTCAGCCCTGTTTGCCCCGTGGCCCTCAAGGGTGCGGAGGCCAAGGGAGGTGGGCCTGGAGCGAGTTTGTGGTGAGCGGAGGTGCTTGTCACCCTGCTTCTCTGGCCTGAGGGAGCGAGGCATGCCTGGGCTGGGCAGGGCAGGGCAGACCAGGGCAGACCGGCCTGACCGCCCACCCCCCTCCATCCTCTTGGCCAGCACCCGCTTGGCTGTGCTGAGCAGCAGCCTGACCCACTGGAAGAAGCTGCCGCCGCTGCCATCTCTCACCAGCCAGCCCCACCAAGTGCTGGCCAGCGAGCCCATCCCCTTCTCCGACCTGCAGCAGGTGAGCCGCCCCTGCCTACCCTTCCCTCACGGCCCAGGCTGTGGCAGAGGGTTCACCCTCTCCGTCTCAGAGGCGGTAGGGAAGTGGAGTTAGGGAGCGTGGTAGCTCGTGTACCCCACTCACCCTCACCTCTCGTACTTTGTATCTTCTTTCCACCTTTATTTTCTCCCTCCCCTTTGTTCTTTGCCGTCTTTCCCATCCCTGCCTTTCTCTTTGGCGCCCTGTCCCTCACCATCCCCTCCTCTCTCGCCACCCAATCCCCCTCCCCGGCTTTCTGGATCTCCCTTCTCACTGCCTCTCTCCGTCCCTCTTGTCCCTGGCCTCTCTGTCCCAGGTCTCCAGGATAGCTGCTTATGCCTACAGTGCACTTTCTCAGATCCGAGTGGACGCAAAAGAGGAGCTGGTTGTACAGTTTGGGATCCCATGAAGAGAGGGATCCTTGGACAGCTCTTCTCTTCACCCCGTCTCCACCCTGCGTCCCCTGGCCCCCAGCCTCACTGCGGCTCACACAGTACCCCGACCTGCTACTAATCACAGAGAAGAGTGTGGAGGAGGAGAAGAGTGAGGCCGGAAGCCTCAGCAAGTGAGGACGGAGCAAGGGAGGGCAGAACCATTTGGGACTGGTGTTCATAGCCCTGGCCAGGGATGAGGTGGGGATTGAAAGGTTAGGGCCTAGTAGGTCTTCACCGTCACCGGGAAGTTGGAGGTACCACTGTGAGGGTGATCCCTAGGGGGCCTGTGGGGGCCCCCTTCCCACCCTTTCTCTTGGCCTCACTCCTGTCTCCTTCTCCCTGACTTGGTGCTCACATGCACCTCACTAGGGTTTGTGACCAGGGTCTGGACGAGCTTGAATTTGAATGAATTGAGTTTGTATTTCTAGCACCCTGGGTTTTTACATGTTTGGGGTTTTGGGGTTTTGTTTTGGTTTGTCGCCCTCGATAAAGGAAGTGTATTCATCTGTGTGCTGGTTGCAGCCCCTCTGTCCTGCCCACCACCCTAGTACTACTTCTGGTCTGTGAGCAGTGAGATGGGTGAGGGGGAGGAGCACGTCTTCCAGGGGCACTGAGAGGAATCTGGGAGATAAGGGTTCAGGGCTCCCAGGTCTTAGCTGGAACTTGGCCTGGGCTAACCTCAGATTGGATAAGATTGCTTATCCCTTCTCCGATAATGGGAATACTGTCAAAGCTGAACAAACTTGAATCCGAGGCAGCTGTCACTGTTGGGGGCCCTGCCTCAGGTTCAGTGGAATTACCAACAAGCCCAGGGTTGCGGGGGGAGGGTAAAGGCAGACCAAGGATACTTGACATGGAGCCAGCAAGCCACTGTTTTCAAGCAGAAGATTCTTTTTATCAAATGAAATCTCAAGCAGAACACCAGCATGTAAAACAGTGGAACCACTCTGATCTGATTGAAGTGGGGGGTTCAGAGATCACAGCCTATAAAATCTTCTCTGAGGCATTTCCACAGAAACTTGGCGCTCTGTGAAGCAGCTCTGACCCCAGGATATCTGAATTGAAGAGTAAAAGAAAGGGGCCCAGAGAGATTAGGTAAGTTTCTCAAGGCCACACAGTGAACCAGGTCCCCTGCGTCCCAGGCCAACAGGCCTTTCCCTCCACTGCCTCCCTCTTATCAGCGAAGTAAGACTGGAGCTACTGACAGTTGCCTGAGTTGGAGGACATTTTTACAGGGCACAGATGACTTCACATCTGCTCAACTGCTCAAATCGTTTATTGTCAAACCAAACTGACCATCCTTGGCCTTTAGGACTGCTGGGGCCCTGGGAACCTCAGAGTGCATTCTGCTTGATCCGGACCTTCTTGGGCTTGATGTTCATGCGTTTCCACACTTCAGCTGAGGCATGGTCTGCCTTGGTGACCCCACTGAAGTCGAATGTGGTGATACGGGGCAGGGTGCACAGCACATATTGCCTGTGGGGAAGACTTGGGCTGGGGGCCAGCCCCCCACCAGAACCTCCTTCCCCCTCCACCAGTTGGTGCTCTCTCCCCTAACTGCAAGAATGGAGGGACTGAAGTATAATTTGGGGGAGACAGAGTTTCCCCTGATGGATAGTAAGACAGGAAAGATCTCCACTCCCTTCTCTGTCCCAGCATGGCAGAACAATGGTATTGGATTTCTTCTCTCTCCACCTCCTTTCCCTCAGGGGAGCCCAGCTTCAGGGCCGGGGCACTTACCTATACCCCTTCTCTTCCTCTATGGGGTTCCCGTGGAGTGTGAGGCTCCGGAGCCGCGGGAGGACAGCCAGTTTGTTCACCTCTCCCAGGCGCTGGATGCTGTTGCCATGGAGGTAGAGTACACTGAGGTTGAAAAAAGTTGTCAGGACCTGTTGGGGAAGGAAACCAAAAGCCAGGATGGACAGGGCCCTGGATCTGTGCTCAGGACTGACTTGGGGGCAAAGAAGGAAAAGTTTGGGAAACAACTTGCTTTCCAGTCTATGCCACCCCCCTGCAGCCATTCTGGATAACTCCGACCTACTTTTCATTTAACTCTGAAGGAGTACAGGGGTATCACATGGCCATAGAGCTGTGATCTGAGGGGCGGGAGGTATGGGCCTGGGGCCTAGCACAGCCACTGACTTGCCGGGGGCCTGGGCTCTCCTGCTTCCCCCTGAGCCTCAGTTGCCTCTACACTGAAGACCTTTTTAGCTTTGGTGATCTAAGAATCTTTCACAACAAGGGACGGGTAGAGAGCATCACGCTAGGTACAGAAGAGAAGCTTTCAAAATAGTTAAATTGAGATCACTACTACCTGGGGAATAGTTTCCAACTCATGCTGTAGCTGCTTTTCCTCTCTGATAGGGATCCTGGACAAGAAAGGGTCAGTTGTGTTTTATAAAACTTGAGTCTGAGTTCATGGAAAATAAGTGCTGTACTTTACCTACCTCTTCCACAGAAGAACTCAGCACAAGGCACAGTGGGTGCCCGATAACAAAAACTATTATGTTCCTGCAGCCTGCTACGTGCTAGTTGGCTTTCCTAATTCTCATTTAATCCTCATAAAACCTTTATGTTTTGTGGGGGCACATGCTCCCCATTTTTTCAGATAGGAGGGCTGAGATTTTGAAAGGTTGGGTATCTTGCCAAAATCCCAAAATAAGAGACAAATCTAGGATTTGAACCTACATCTTTCTGGGCCCACAGCTGTGTACTGTGCACAGCGCTGTGCTGCGGCACCACTTCCTGGATAATGTGTGGGAGGTAGAGCGGCTGGGGGCTGGACGAGGTGGTATCAGGCCCACCCTGACTGGACACTCGGGGCTGGGTACTCACAGGGTCAATGGAAGTCAGGTCGTTGAAGGACAGGTCGATCCAGGCCAGGTTCTCTGGATGCTCCAGAAGCAATGAAACCACATGGCTGAAGTCTCTCAGGTCATTGAGGACATTGTTGTTCAGCCACAGGGACTGGGTCAGTGACTTCCCTGACTTTGAGTGCCTTATTGGTCGTAGCCCTGTCCGTGGCTCCTCGCTCGTCAGGTCTGTGGGGACAGAGTGAGACGTGGGCTATCATCTTTGCTTTTCTGTTTTAGGGCTGAGAAGGGACAGAGCTGGGAGGATTTACAGCCTAAGCTATAGCTGGAGGGACTGCCAGGACCATAGCCTCATGCTTGAGTCTAGCATGACTCTACCTGCTGTCAGTACAGGACCCCGTCCCACAGGCCTCAGGAATCCAAGTAAACTTGGACTAAGAGTCAAAGACTTCCCATCCCAAATTCTTGGTTTGGGTCACATGGTCTTCTCATGTCTGTCATATCATTGGGTCTGGGGACGGGGGAGAGGCAGAATCACTCACTTTATGGAAACTAAGAACTAGAATTGTCAGGCTTGAACGAAGATGATTATAGCACAAAGTCTAGAATTATCCACTGGTAGAGCCTATAGCATTCACTTCAGTACAACACCCTCCGACGTCCTCTCTCTTGCATTACTGCTGAGCAACTGTGTATGTGCCAGATACTGGATGTATAGTGGTAAACAGAATGGCAGATGGTCTGTGCCAAGCTCTGGATGAGTAACAAGGCAGGGATGAAGCAGATGTTTGTGCCTTGGAGGAGCTCATATAGGCAGGATGAAAACAAGCTGGCAGTGACAGCAATGGAATCATGAAGAAGGACTCCTGGCTCAGTCTGGGCACTCAGGGAAGTCGAAACCTGAGCTGGAGCTCAGTGGATAAGGAGACCTTAACCAAGCAAAGGGTGGAAAGGGCAAGAGTGGCACCATACAAGTAGAGGCATAGAGGTGTGAAATGGTGTGTATGCATGCACTGCTCAAGGTGGGGGCAAGGAGGAAGAAGCCAAGGAGCCTTGAATGCCAGGCAGAGTATTTTGGACTTTATTCTGTAGATGATGGGAAGCCACTGGAGGGTTTAGACGAAGGAGATGATCCAAATCTTTCACACTGCAGAAAGATCATTCTGAAGCTCTGGCGTGCAGATGGATTAAAGGAAGTGGGTGTGACTGGAAGATCAGTGTGGCTCTTTGAGTCGTCCAAGCAAGAGATGAGAGGGAGAGAAAATCAGCATGACTTCAAGTTGACTGGATGTAAGCGTAAAAGAATAATCTAGGGTGGTGCCCAGTTTCTTGTCTAAGGGACTGATAAGGAATTAGAAAAAGACAAACCAGGGTTGGAAAGGTGAGTGCAGGCTTAGCCTTGGTGTGTGTCTGAGGTTCCCATAACACAAAAAGGTGGAGAAGCCAAGCAGGCAGTTGGATACAAAGGTCTGAAGCTCAGGAGACGGATAAGAATCATTAGCATAGAAGGTGTACAAGTTAGAGAAGTAGAGGAGATTCTACACGGAGAGTGAGGGTAGAAGGGAGGTACAAGGAGGAAGGGGAGTCTATTAAAAATGAGTATTGAGGGAAGGATGGAGGGAGAACCACAAGAAGATAATTTTACAGATGCTCAGGGAGTGCCGAGTTTATAGGAGTGAATTTCAGGGCGATAGAACTGAAAAGTAATTTTGGCAACTCCAGCCCCTGGTGACCTTGGTGAAGGCTGTTTCAATGAAATGAGAAGGACCTGGGAACAGAAGCTAGACCGGACTCAGTTCAAGAGTGAAGGGAGGGTTAAGGAAATCTAAGCAGGTAGTGTAAACAACACCCTCAGAAAGTTTGGCCAAGGAGGAGAGAGGACAGGGAAAACAGAGTGTTCCAAACCATCTGTGTAGACCCCCACACACTTTTTGACAAATGAGGTAGAGAGGATGGGCCCTGCCCAGACTCATAGTGGCAGAGCCAGAACCAGATAACCCCCTATGGCTGAGGGGACTATATTTTTCCTCTTGCCCCTAAGCCTCTCATTACTTGTCTAAAGCTGTCTCCGGGGAAGAAAGTATTTAGGATTTGCTGAAGCTGGCCAGCTGTCTTCACTCCCCTCAGCTCTTATTGGACACACTTCCTCTCTTCCACCTACCCCCAGTTAACTTCCTCTCCTCTCGGCTGCAGGTCAGGCAGCATCCACCAGGTGGCTCTCCGCCTTAGTGCTGGAGTGAGCAGGATCCCCGGTCGGGGCCGAGCTGGGGGAGAGGTGGCAGAAGGGCACTGAAGCAGAGTACTCCAGCTCCTGAATAAACTAATCCTGCCCCCCACCTCAGCGTATCCTGAGAACCCCCAATGAAATGACACAGTGAATAAAAGTTAGGGTTAAAATAAACCCACATATAGATTAGCATCCAGCCTGATGAGGCAGCAGCTTGGAGACTGCCACTAAGCACGGGCGGATCTCCAGCTCAGAAGCAGCCACTGGTGGAACTGTGTTGCCTAAAACTTGAGGCTCCCATCCGGGCTGCCGGTATCAAGAGTGGAATGGTGTATCCCATTGCTACAGGTTTCTGTTCCCTTTAGATTCCACCAGGGTACTGCATTAAGGATCTGTTGACACTGCCTTGTTCAGAGTAGGCCAAGGCAGGTCTGGAATATGGACCACAGATATCAGTGCCCAAAGAACTGGGGAGTGTTTAGCCCCAGGAAGACCTGGGAAAATGTGATCCCGTCTTCATATCTCTGAAGGGTTGCCACACAACTTTTTCTTTTTCACATGAACTTTTCCATGTTCCCTAGAGGGTGGGAGTTAGTTTGATAACTTCGTCATGTCATCCCTCACCCCATAATGGAAGGGGTTGGTAAGTGTGTCTTGCAGTAGACTCCCTTAACACTGTAGGTTCATGAGCAGAAGTTAGAGGACTATGGGTTGGATATAGTCTAAAGTCCTTGCCATTTCAGAATCTATAATCCATCTATTGGTTTACTTTAGCAAATAGTCTATCCAGTACCCCCAGACTCTGGGGAACTTGAGGGGACTGGCATTTTGGGGCTTGGATGTGCTTCTGTTCCCCTCCTTACAAGACACAGCAAGGAGCACAATGCCTGGCATGTATGTATACACATCTGCTCACTAAATAGTAGGTGCTCAGTAAATATTTAACCATTGAATGAAGGAGAGGGCATCTGTACAGACCATGGTTTGTGCTGTGGAGTCATCTGTGGTTGTAGTAGATTGTTTCTCCCCTCATTTTGAAGGTTCCAGAGAGTGCAAAGCTCTGTTTCCCCGCTCAGAGTTGGGAATTTCCAGGGTAGGCAGGAGCCATACCTCCCTCATCTGTCACCCCAGTTATCTTGTACAGAATCATTACAGCTAAAACCCTTGTGAAACACAGACTACATCAATCAGAAGTGATGCTGTGCACAGTCAATAAAGATCACAGTAGGTGGGTGTATGCTCCTGAGAGAATATGAGTGAGCCACTGTGGCTGGCGCAAACCCAGTAGTATCCCCAACTCAAGCCAGGCCTAGTACCCCCTGGATAACTATTTGCCTTCTTCCTGATCTTAAAAGTAGCCACCAGTTGCCTATGAGAGAAAACCAAAGCCAGTTATTGGGTCTAGGATATATGGGTACAAGCATGTGTTCTGTGAGAGCAGATGTACAGTGTTTTATGAGAAGCCAGATAGCAAAAGCCAGGGACAGAACTTCCTTGGAAAGAAGCATATTACCCTGAGAATATGATACTGCTAAGAGCCTTCCTCTGTCTGTTCCCGAAGAGTATGAGCCACCTATTTACAAAGACACTGAATAATAAAATGGGAATGAGCATGGGTAGTGCTGGAACCTGCAATAATTATGGGTGATAATGGAATAAACTTGGATAGGGCTGGAATGAGTATAAGATATTTATCAATAAATATTTAAACTGGAAACATGCCCTGAATAATGAGACCCTGCATGTTTTACCAGTGATCAGAATAGGCTTGTGTCCTCAGAGGAGTTAGGGTTCCGCCTGTTTTCATTCATGTCTTCCTCTTCAGGTAAAAACAGGAGAATAAAACCATTGGCTGATAAACTGGTTTCTCAGTTTCCTTCCACCTGACTTTACTGTTGTAGCCTGGATTCTTTTGAAGATGATCAATTACCCCTTACACCCCTGCCACCTACTTACCCCCTACTCCTCTCAAAAACAACAAAAAAATCTGCAAGCAAACAGGAAGACTCTCTTCAGGCTCTTAAGTAGAAGACTGCTCTCTCCCTGGGAACCATACCCAGGCTGTTGCCATGGTGAGTGGAGTGCTGTGCTCTGTGGGCTGACCTTGGATCACGTGGATGCTTCGGAAGGAGTAGTCAAGAGGGGGCTCTTGCACCGAAGTGTTCATATAGTCCGGTTTGCTCATAGCTCAGGCCATCATTTGTCAGGTGTAAGCATTGGCCCTGGGAGTCCGGGTTCAGCCTGGGGGCGATACAGAAGGACTGGTGTTCCAGGTACAAGGGGTTTAGGCTTCCAGGTATCCCCAGAGCCCTGCACCCTTGCTTTCTACCCTCCACCACTCCAGGCTTGCCTGGTCGCATTTCTGTTTTAAGACAGTAATCACCATTCCTTGCATTTGTAGGGCACTTCCTACTTCTCAGAGCACCTTTACATCCCTTAGAGCTCATTGATAATTGTAACACCCATTTCGACTTTCCACATAAAGAAACTGAGACCCCAGGGTAAAAGCACTTGCCTGGAGTTAAGCCAATGAGTCAGTGTGGACTGCGATCCTAGACTCCCGAATCCTACTCTGAGGCCTTCTGTGCTACTCCACAGTAGTTACCATGGAGGCTATCTTGGTACCTACACTCCAGTGACATCAACTGGGCTATTCTATTGCTTAACAAACCCCTGAGGGCCTTCATTGGATCTGGTGTCTGACAGCCCTTTGCCAGTCTGGCCCAGCTGGGGATTTGCCTCCTTCTCTGCTCACCTTGTCTGTCAGCCCCATTTCCTTTCCATCCAAAGACCCTACTTTCAGCCACATCCTCAATGTACTCCTACATACATAAGCACATACACATGAAACCAGAATCTACCTCACTCACTCACTCACCTGTCACCAGTGCCTGAAACTCCACCATTAGGGATTCATTCCTTTGGGTTCAGGGATTGTTCCCTGTCAAAATGGAAATACCCCTGAGAGGGGTAAACACAAGTTATCAGTCATTTACAATGTGGTGTGAATTGTCTTATCAGATCCTTTCCAATTTGTTAGCTCAAGTAAAGCAGAGATATTTTCAAGAGACTGGGGAAAGCCATGAGAATACTACTCACCTGGGAAGAAGAAAGCTGAAAACACACTTTACCAAGGGGTTTTGTATGTGACAGATACAAACAAAAGACACATAGACTGACAAGGACATGTCCCAGTCAACCTCCCCTTCACTTATCCACTGCTGTCACCTCTTTTGCTCACTACACCTGCTTTCCAAAAGGATTTGAGGTAGTTTATAACACACTCATAAAACAGGATGATTTGGGCGCCTGGGTGGCTCAGTTGGTTAAGCGACTGCCTTAGGCTCAGGTCATGATCCTGGGGTCCCAGGATCGAGTCCCACATCGGGCTCCCTGCTCAGCGGGGGGTCTGCTTCTCCCTCCGACCCTCCCCCCTCTCGTGCTCTCGCTCTCATTCTCTCTCTCTCAAATAAATAAATGAAATCTTAAAAAAAAAAACAGGATGATTTATAGAATGGAGTTGTCCAACTGAAATATAATGAACACTATAAATGCAAGCCACATAAGTAATTTTTTCACATATGTAATTTAAAATTTTCTGGTAGCCATAAAAAGGAAAAGTCAAAAGAAACAGGTAAAGCTTAATATATTTTATTTAACCCAATATATCCAAAATAACATTCAACATATAATTGCTATTGATAATTGAGATATTTTATACATCCCAATTTGGACAAGCTACCTGTCAAGTGCTCAACAGCTACAAGTGTCTAGTGGCTACCAGACTGATGTAGGAAATGGAAACATGGAAGAGAAAGATCAGAAGGCAGATTAAAGGAAGAGAAAGAGATGTACAATGGAATTAGGAACTGGCCTATGTTATCTCTGAAATTCCTTGCAGCCAAAGTAAAAAGGGAAAACTTAGGATATGCAGTTCTAGATTATATGCAGAAAATGAAATCCACACATTTTCTTAAAATGAATTTCTCTTAAAAACCAGGGACCTTGGGGCACTTGAGTGGCTCAGTCGTTGAGCATCTGCCTTCGGCTCAGGTCATGATCCCAGGGTCCTGGGATTGAGCTCCGCGTTGGGATCCCTGCTCTGCGGGAGGCCTGCATCTCCCTCTCCCACTCCCCCTGCTTGTGTTCCCTCTCTAGCTGTTATCTCTCTCTCTCTGTCAAATAAATAAATAAATCTTGAAAAAAACAAAAACAAAAAACCAGGGACCTGACAGGATATAATTCAGCTTAAGCTTAATACAGTTTGAGTAAATTCCTTTTTTGGTGTTTTAACACGTAGAGGAATGGAAAGTGAATGTCTTCCTCTCAAAAAGCAGCAGTCTCAACTGAGCTTTGTGGAAGTGCCACCTTGAGTCATTTCACAGTTGAATTCTCTATCAAATCAAGACTGGCCGGGTGGGCACCGACTGTTGATTAGGGAGACCTGCATCTTTTAGGTATCAAATATACAGACAGACAACAAAGAACACAGGCTTTTCTGGAACTAGAGGAACCTAGCTTGTGTTCTCACCTAGACAGAGAAGCCCATTCCACTAGAGCACCTACAACAAGTTTGATGTCTTTGAGTGAGATTGGATACTTTTCTCAAAGTCCTGTGTTGGGATCCCAGAGTTCTGCACTGGACATGGATTTTAGCCTAAAATATTTAAGGGCAGAATTTTACCATTAGTTTCCTTGACCATCAGAGAACCTAACTCAGTGCAGTTCCTAAGAACTTCTGACTTTGTGTCATACACAAATGCATCATCCTTATGCATTTTTCCGGATGAGTTACTATTAAAAATGGAGCCCCCAGTAGTTAGATAAGTTTGCCAATTGGAAACAGTTGTTATTCTTCTCCATTTAAATAGTAGCCCAGACTGTGAGCTAGCACTGTCTTATTCATCATCTGACACAGAACCTGGCTTACAACAGGCACTCAAGAAATGTTTGTGGGAGGCATGAATGAGAAACTGCCAAATTCAAGGCTTTCTGTTTTGCTAGTGTTGATGGTAAGCTGCTCTTTCTAACAATTGGCTCCCAGGTTCAGCTATTTCAGTCTACACCTCATTCACAGTAAGAAACTCAATTCAAATCTGCAAACATTTATGGAGTGCCTGCTGCCCTGTGCCTGACCAGAAGGAATGAAGCCTAGATAACAAATAATAGAGCAACCCTGTCTGTCATGAGCACAGAAAAGCCTGCTAGGTTTCCACTGATTGTGGCAAACCAGCCTGCATCCAGTTCTAAGAAACAGCTGCCTACTTAGTGAATATTCTCAGGTTTTATTTTATTTGTTTTAAGATTTTATTTATTTATTTGACAGAGAGAGACATAGCAAGATCAGGAACACAAGCAGGGGGAGTGGGAGAGGGAGAAGCAGGCTTCCCGTGGAGCAGGGAGCCCGACGAGGGGCTCAATCCCAGGACCCTGGGATCACGACCTGAGCTGAAGGCAGACACTTAACGACTGAGCCACCCAGGCACCCCTATTCTCATGTTTTAATACTCAGGCCTAGTGTACTCTCTTTGATGAAGCCTGTCTTTCCAGATAAAATTGGTCAATGTGTTCTGTGGTAGATTGATTCCCTTGATTATTCCTATTCCTGGTCTCCCTCGTATCTATCTCTTTTGCCCTATAACTCTGTAGTTCTCCACTCCGATGCTGGGCTCAGCCATGTGACTTGCTTTGGCCAATGGGATACTGGTAAACATGAAGCAAACAGAAAACTTAGAGGGCTTGCCCTCTTGCTTTTTGCCTATGCCAAGAGAAAATCGCTACCCTACAGGAGGGATGGGAGAAACATGTGCAGCTGAGATAGGTGCAGAGAGCTAGTGTTCCCAGCTGAGGCCATCCTAGACTGGCCAATAGCCAGCCTACACCAAGTCAGGTTCAGGATAGTCACAGATGCCTGCAGACATATGAATGAGCCCAGGCAAGACCAGAAGAAACACATGGCTGACTTAGAGACTTGGAAGCAATAATAAATACTTATTATTTTAAGTCACTATGGTTTTGGATGGTTTGTTATACAGCAATAGCTAACTGATACATGCCCCTACTGTACTTTGAACAAAATTTTATCACAGACTGTTTCCTCATCTGTAAAATGGAGACAAACCTATCTTGAGAACTATTGTATGTCCTGCAGCAGGTGCTAATATTAATACACTGAAGCAGCTGTATTCTCTGTACTCATTTTTTTTAAAGATTTATTTATTTGAGAGAGAGGGGGCATGCACACATGAGTGGGGGGGTAGAGGGAGAGAATATCAAGCAAACTCCCCACTGAGTGGGGAGCCTGATGTGGGGTTCAGTCCCATGACCCCGAGATCATGACCTGAGCTGAAATCAACAGTCGGACATTTAACCCACTGAACCACTCAGGCAACCCCCCACTTTTTTTAAAGTAGGATCTATGCCCAGTGGGGGTCTTGAACTCATGATCCTGAGATCGAGAGTCGCACACTTTACTGACTGAGCCAGCCAGGAACTCCTGTACTCGATTCTTTATAAACTTTCTATTCCTTCCCTGTAAACTCAAGGCCAGGGACAGAAGTCAGACTTTTTTTTTTTTAGATTTTATTTATTTATTTGACAGAGAGACACAGCGAGAGAGGGAACATAAGCAGGGGGAGTGGGAGAAGGAGAAGCAGGCCTCCCGCGGAGCAGGGAGCCCGACGCAGGGCTCGATCCCAGGACCCTGGGATCATGACCTGAGCCGAAGGCAGATGCTTAACAACTGAGCCACCCAGGCGCCCCCAGAAGTCAGACTTCTTTCTCTCTTCCCACCATTACTCTGTACTGAGCCTGACAAAGACTGGGTCTTCACTAAAGGCTTGATGAACAAATGGATAATGGACAAGTGAAAGAAGAAATGAATAGTGTCTTCAGGTGTCACATGGTATACCTGGCTGCTGGGTAGAACTGACAAAACCCTGAGGTTGCTTTGCTCACTTCAGTGGCTGCGTTTCTGGAGCCAGTCTTTCCCAGCTGCTGTTCTGCCTCATGACCAGTCAGATCCCAGTGCCTTCCTCATCTGTCCAGGCTGACTTGACAAATGACAGGTTTAGAGGCATACTTCTCTTGTTTTGGAATTTTTCCTTTCCAAATTGGAAATACCTTTTATTTTATTTTAGTTTTTAATTTTAAAAGTTAACATGATAGCTGAATAAAGTCTAACAACATAGAGAAGTACATCAAGTAGAAACTAAAAGTCTGGGGCACCTGGGTGGCTCAGTTGTTAAGCGTCTGCTTTCGGTTCAGGTCATGATCCCAGAATCCTGGGTTCAAGCCCCGCATCGGGCTCCCTGCTTGGCGGGGAGCCTGCTTCTCCCTCTCCCACTCCCCCTGCTTGTGTTCCCTCTTTCGCTGTGTCTCTCTCTGTCAAATAAATAAATAAAATCTTAAAAAAAAAAGAAACTAAAAGTCTGAGTCTCCATCTCACCAAGAACAATCATGATTAACGTTTGGGAATATAACCTCTTAGAAGGAACATATACAAAATTGTGTATATTATATATACACAATTGTGTATATAGTAAAACACATCCTATTTGTAAATGTATTTTTTAAATTCTACTTTATAACTGGGATAACTGACATAACATTGTGTAAATTTAGATGTACAACATATTGATGGGAGACATTTATACTGAAATATGGTTGCCATTGTAGTGTTAGCTAACAATGTATTTTTTCTTTTTATATTGTAGATTCATCCTTTTCTAAAAATATTTTTAAAATTTATTTATTTGACCGAGAGAGAGCGAGTCCATGTGCATGAGTGGAGGGGGGGTGGAGGGAGAGGGAGAAGCAGACTCCCCACTGAGCAAGGAGCCAGATGCAGGGCTTGATTCTAGGACCGTGAGATCATGACCTGAGCCGAAGGCAGATGCTTAAATGACTGAGACACCCAGGTGCCCCTAGACTCACCCTTTTTAATAACTGCAGAGTACTGAATAGAATTTGTGTGTATCCTATTAATTTAGTTAATTTAACTTTAACCAATCCAAGTTGATGAAAATTTGTTTTCAGTTTTTGGAAATTACTAACAATTGGGATTTGATTTGTTGTTAGCCTATTTCTTCCCTCTCTCGGGTAAGTAGCAATATGATGGCATAGAAAGTTTTGAGGAATAATCAGATGAGATCTGATAGACTGAATGGCCTGGCCTAGAGAGGGTTTCTGTTTATGGACTACAGGTGGAAGAAAAATCAAAGAATGTTAAGAAAAGTTGGCCACATAATCTAGTGTATTCTGGGAGGTTATATTCCCAGGTGCCACAGGGAAGCCCAAGATTCAGCCTAGCGGATGTCCAAGTTTACTCCTTGGAACACATCCTTAAGCTAGACAGGCTGTAAACTCAAGTTAGTGACTTGGCTCGAAGTTGACAAATGGGTATGGTCCTAAGCTGTCACTGACTTGGTGTGTGGCCTTGAGCAAGTCACTGCTCCTTTTTGGGTTTCAGTTTTCCAATCTGTAAAATGGGGATAAATATCCTCGACTCACAAAACTCAAAAGAGAGAGTGAATGTGAAAGTGCTCGGTAAGTTGCCAAATGTAATCTGTCATGAAAACTGTAAAAGAAATCAAAGTCTAACCACAGAGCTAGGAGAAGCCGACCATAGGGGAGGTGTAGCGAGAAGAGGTAATTTAGGGACAGCACCCCTAATGAGTGTGTGACGCTGCTGATTCTGAGAACGGGGCTGTACCCTGGGACCTTCCTGCATGTCAGGGAAGAGACAAGTCAAGCCCCATACATCTCCAGTATTAGGGCCGGTGATTTACTCTAATTCTACTCCCTTGTCTTGAAGAGGTCTCACTTCATCATCAGAGGAAAAACCAACCCATTTTCTGAGTGTGTTTCAGATCTCCCACTGTCAGGGATTTGAGCCATCCGTATTAGGGGGTCCCAGGTTTGTGATAGGGGATGTTCTTAAGCACCCCCCAAATCCGTGCGGCTATGTATCTCGTCGCCCTTCCCTCCCCTACCCCGGTCTGTTCCGAATGGATGTTATGTCTTGTTCATTGTGCAATGGGTGTGTGCGGGAGGGTTTCTCAGGTCCCCGAAAAGGAAATTCCTTAATCTCTCCATAGAGAGCGAATGGTCCCCTAGAACGAATTTCCTGTTTTCCCGCCCGACTCACCCGCAGTTGCTTTCCCTCCAGCCTCGGCGTCGCACTACCTCAGGCTTACTCAGCGCAACTCCATGGTAACTACCTTCACCACCGCATCCCGCAAGCCGTAAGTGCTACCGCGATGCCTACCGGGAGTTGTAGTTCGCCAGGGGCGGGGCTCCAAAGCCGCGGGATGTGCTGGGATTTGTAGTTTTCTTTGCTCTCAAGTCCAGGCCGGATTCCGGAAATAGTGACACCCCTTCTCTCTTCCCAGTGGTCCTCACACTTCCTTTTCCCGGGTCCTCAAGCGTGCCCTTGCGTGAGACTCCAGACGACCGGGGCCAATCAGAGGGTGGCGCGTGGGGCGGGGCCATAGTTTAAACTAATTGTGCGCTCACCGCGCTGGCGCGAGCCCGTGACAAATACGATCCCGCGGAAGCGTGAGGCGGAGCGGGAGCGCGCGGCAGGTAACCGGCGCGGGCCCGCGGCTGGCGTTCGGTTTGGGCGCCCGCAGGGATGCCGGGGCCTAAAGGGGGTGCTGGAGAGGCGGGTGCGAGCGGAAGGCCTCCTTCATAACCTGCTCTGACTGGGGAGAATCTATCGGGGGTAAGGTTTGTGAGGAGGGGGGGCATGTCCGGGTGGGAGGAGGTGCTGGCGTGCCTAGGGGGAGGGTCTGTTTGGGGGCGTGTCTGTGGAATTCTGTCTGCAACCGGGTCGGGTCGGTGGGGGTGGGGGGCGGCTAGTGCGTGTTCCTGAAATGCTTGTGACCCAGAGGTCCCAGGGAAGTCTCCGCCTATTATTGTTAACAATAGCAGTAGTAATACTAGTAGTAAACATTTTCCGAGCACCGGCTACGTTTCAGACATTGTGCCACACCCTTTACATGGATCATTTTTAAATATTCCTAATTGTCCTATTATCCTTTATTACAGATGGGGAAACAGGTATTTTATAGTGTTTACTTGGTCAGGATTACATAGCTAGTGCATGGTTGGCGTAAATAAAGAGTGGGGGGTAAGGGGCTGTGTGGGGGTGCGCGTTGTCTTGGACGAGTCACCTAATTTATTTTGAGCCTCATTTCCCAAACGTAAACAATGAACTTACCTGCCTTACCTACTTCTTAGGGTTGTTCTGAGGGCCAGATCAGTTAAGTTGTTTCGTGGAAGCATCTTGGAATGTACAAATATATGACTGTAAGTTACTGTGTGAAGGTTGTGGGTGGGAAAGAGCGTAACTGGCTTGATGATGCCTCCTGTGGACGTCCGCTCTTGCTTAGGCCCCAGGGGAGTGCTTCTCATCTGGTATTGGAAGAGTGTCTGCATGTTTGCCCTTCTAGAGACAGTGTCTTTTGTCCCCGTATCCTGATGCCTAGGCAGGTATGAGTGAAACATATCATGTCTATGAATGCATGCTTTGAAAGGAATGAGCTTTCGTGGACTGAAAGGAAATAGGAGCCTGGCTTTCCCATCTTCATTTAGTGGCTTTTGAACCTCTGTATTCTATCTTTTTGCCTGGAATGGCACTGCCTTCTAAAAATGTGATATTTACTTGCTTTAATCCGTGTTTCCCTCTCTCTCGTGTCTGTTGCCTGGTCCTGTATGTCCAAAGTTCTGGAATGTCAAAAGTGTGTTACTCTGTGGTGGACAGAAACCTTGGATAAGGGAAATGGGGCTACCTTGCGGAGCTATTTACTGCTGTGAATCTATGGGAACCCAGAAGGAACATTCAGACCGAGTAAGGTAGCTGTCCATCATCAAGGATGAGTATATGTGTTCCCTCCCTCTCTGTTCCTGTATGGTTCTCCTTGTAGAGGAAGAAGCACATAATTCTCTGTAAAAGCTTCCAGAGTACTCTTTTCTTGGCCCAAGTTCAAGCAAATGGTGACTAATTGTAATGCCTGATTCTTAATCTATGCCAAAGCTGTACTCCCCCAAAGCTAAAAAGTCTTACCTGAAAGCTCATTTAAAAATTTCTATTTAGAATGTTTTTTTTTTATTTATGGAATATGGGAGTGAGAAGAATGCCTTGAACTAGTACTTGAGTTCTAGAACTGTTAGGATGGGGGGAAAGCCCTGCCACAGGTGGCTAAGCAGAGCTGATGGGGAATGTTTTGACAGCTGTGTCTAATTGATTAACACCCTATGGTCAATAAGTATGTTGGGGGTCACTTATTTCAGCCTCTTACCCAGTGTTACACTAAACATATCAAAAGGTGTTGTCCGAACTCAAAAGGAGCACTTCCAATGATGAGACCACTCCCAAAGGCAGTCCATTTCAATATTGAACAATTCTAAGTAATAATCATTGTTATTGTAGTCTAACAGTATTGTTTTGTGCTTTCAGTGATTAATTTCATTTTACCCTTATATGCTTTTTGTTTTTTCACCATTCTTGCATTTTATTCCTTTTGTGTTAAATAGATGAATATATCCTTCAGATGTTTTCTTCAGTGAGAGTCAGTTAGTGGTAAACACTGTGTGGAAACATCTTTATCTTCTCTTCAGTCTTGATAGTTTAGCTGGGTACTAAGTTTCCAATTATTTTCTCTCAGCATTTTGAAAATGTTATTTTACTGAAATTCTGACTTTTTGTTGTTACTTTTGAGAACTATGCTCACAATTTAACTATCATTTTATTGTAGGTAACCTGCATTTTTCTCTGGTTGTTTTAAAGATCTTACTGTTTGTGTTCTGCAGTTTCATTATATGGTGTGGATTTAATTGTATCCTCTTGGGAGCTTATAGTGATTTCTCAATCTGAGATTCCATACCTTGCATAAATTTTGTAGAAAAATTTGCAGTCATTCCGTTTTTAAATAGTGCCGCTCCCAGATCCCATATTTTAACTTGTGTTGGGCTTTTTTATTCTGTCCTCCACATCTCTTCTTATCTTTCATAATTTCTCTTGCTGTGTTACCTCTGAGTAATTTCTTTAAATCTATCTCCTAGCATACCAATTGACTCTTCAGCTAGAACTAATTTACTTTGTGTGTGTGTGTGTGTGTGTTTAGGGTGGGAGGGGCAGAGGGAGAGGGAGACAGAGGATCTTAAGCAGGCTCCACGCCCAGTGCAGAGCCTGATGAGAGCGGGGTCTCATGACCCTGAGATCAAGAGTTGGTTGCTGAACGGACTGAGCCACCCAGGTTCCCTGAGTTCTTCTCTTTATTAGCTAACTTTTTCAGTTTTAGAAGTACTCTTTAGTTCATTTTTAAATCTGCCTCTTTGTTTTCTATGGTATCTTGTTTTTGTCTCATTTTTTTTTCTTTTATTTTTATTAACATATAATGTGGGGCGCCTGGGTGGCTCAGTCGTTAAACGTCTGCCTTCAGCTCAGATCATGATCCCAGGGTCCCGGGATTGAGCCCCGCATCTGGCTCCTTGCTCGGCAGGAAGCCTGCTTCTCCCTCTCCCACTCCCCCCTCTTGTGTTCCCTCTCTCGCTGTATCTCTCTCTGTCAAATAAATAAAATCTTAAAAAAAAAAAACAATGTATTTGTTTCAGAGGTACAGGTCTGTGATTCATCAGTCTTACACAATTCACAGCACTCACCATAGCACATACCCTCCCCAGTGTCCATCACCCAGCCACCCCATCCTCCCACCTCACTCCACTGCAGCAATCCTGTTTGTTTCCTGAGATTAAGAGTCTCTTATGGTTTCTCTCCCTCTCTGGTTTCATCTTGTTTCATTTTTCCCTCCCTTCCCCCTATGATCCTCTCATGTTTTCAATTCGTATAATAATTTTAAATAAACTTGTAGTCTCTATCATGTTCAATTTTCTGACGTTTTTATGGGTATGATCCTGCCATTTGTTTTAAACTGACTCTTGCCCATGATGAATTGTTTCCTCAAGTATGTAGTAGTTTTGGATTGTAAGTTCATATTCAAAGGAGCATCATTTATGGTAGTCTTATGTAGCATGGATTGAGGTCAGTTCTCTCAAGAGCAGTTTCTTTTCTTTTTTTCCAGTGTTAAGTCAACTTTGCTTAGGCATAATTTATGTACAATAAACTCTATTTAAAGTGAAAAGTGTTTTGACAGATGTATACACCTATAAAAAGCTGTCACAAAGTATAGAGCAGTTCTGTCATGCCCCAAAGTTTCTGCATGCTTCTTTACAGTCCATGTTTCCCTTCACCTTGGCTCAGGAACTTTTTTTTTTTTGAGTTTTTTTTTTTTTTTTTTTTTTTGAGAGAGAGAGAGAGAAGGAGTAGGGGGAGGGGCAGAAGGACACTCCCTGCTGAGCAGGGAGCCCGATGTGGGGCTCGATGTGGGGCTCGTCCTGGGATTCCCTGGAAGCCAAAGGCAGTTGCTTAACCAACTGAGCCCCCAGGTGCCCTGCTCAGGAACTGTTGTAGATTAATTTGCATTTCCTAGAATTTCATGTAAGTTAAATCATGTAGTGTGTATTCTTGGGCCTAGTTTCTTTCACATAGCATAATGCATGTGAGATTTATCCATTTAGTTGCATATATCAGTAATTTGTTGCTTTCTGTTGCTACATAGTATTCTGTTGTATGGTTATATCATGAAATGTTTATTCACTGTTGATGGACTTTTGGTTTGTTTTCAGTTTTTGGCTATTGTGAATAAAATTGCTATGAGCACTCATGTACAAATATTTGAGCATTTGTGTATTTTGCTTTTCAGAGTGGAATGGCTGGGTTGTATGGCAGTTGTATATTTAACTTTTTAAGAAATTACCAGTTTTCGAAAGTGGTAGTACCATTTTAGTGGTATGTGAGAGCTCCATTTGCTTCATATTCTTTTTTTTTAAGATTGTATCTAATTATATATTTATTGAGAGAGAGCTTGTGCAGGTGCACACGCTCAAGCAGGGGGAGGGACAAAGAGAGAGTGAAAAAGGATCTCAAGCGGACTCTGCTCTGAGTGCAGGGCTGGATATCACCACCCTGAGATCATGACCTGAGCCGAAATCAAGACTCAGATGCTTAACTGACTGAGCCACCAGGCGCCCCTTGCTGTATATTCTTACCAATACTTGGTATTGTCAGCCTTTTAATATTAGCCATTTTCATGGAGGTATAGTAGTATCTCATCATGGTTTTAATTTGCATTTTCCTGATGGCTGATGATGTTGAACATCTTTTCACATATTTATTGGCCGTTCATTACATGTCC